AGAGCCACATTTTTAAAATGCTGATCTGCTCCGATAGTCCTCTAAACTAATATTCCCTAATGATAATGCAGCAGTATTGGGAGTACATGTGCTAAATCCGTTTACAACAAGGACTAAAACATACGAGCGAACTTGGACGACATTTTGCGCCACCAGATTCAACGTTAGCCCAAAATCGACGCGGTTCCTCTGTTTTAAAGTTTTCTCTTCTGCCCACTAGAAGTTCCATCTGCTTTTGATTGGAGCCTAAAGAACAGACCGCGGCCCTTTGATGATCTAAGGGGCTGCTGCTGAGCTGTATAATGGCCAAAGTAATTCCCTTATGGAACTCGGAGCGACACCGTGGCGTGACTGATTTGCGGTTTGTGAAGCAGCACCTTAACTCCGTGAAGGCAGAAAGCGAGCGTAAAGGAGCCCAGGACGGGACCTGTGGAGGAATCCCAGGCCTGGAGGCGGCGTTCTCAGCAGCTGCAGTGGCCTAAATGCAGCCAAGTGAACGCTGGCAGCAGGCCGGGCGTGAAGGCAGAAAGGTGAGGACGATTTTCTCCATGTCAGGGTCTGACGGGACTAGTCCGGCTCTGGTTAGAGTCCCAGAGTGCGAAAAAAAAAAAAAACACATCTACTGCAGCAGCAATATGATGTTCCTCATCTTTTTTAGAAGATATCTGAGAGTAAATTCACACTGAGACCCACCTGCAGTCTGAGTTTACCATGCGACTGATATCAGGGAGCGTAATGATGATGGAGAGCGCTGCACATGATGGTGACAGCGACATCCGGGTTTTTCTTAGTTTGTTTTTTATTGAGAATGATGGGCGCCTCAGATTTGAGCTGTGATTGATGGAGTGACGGAGCGCTGAGGGGAAAAGCCTGCAGGTTTCCACATGAGACCAGGTGGGTATATATTGTCAGAGCGCTGCTCCGCGGCACATTTGTCAAGTCGATCACAGGCCGCTGAGGACGGCTGTGGCTGCAAGTGGAGGCTGAAGGAGGGTAAGCTCAGAAACCTTCATGAATGTGTAAATTACTAACCGTAATAAGTGTTAATGAGGCCCAGTATGATCCACATTTTAACCTGTTAAATTCATTAATTTCAGTGAAATAAATGCAATCAGGAGAGACTCTAATGAGAAGAAGGCAATTAAATGTGTTTTTCTTTGAGGTGTATAAATGGGAAAGGTTGGTGAAATGTGAGCCGTCGTCATTT